CAACAGAGCAAAATCGAAAACAGCCGAAAACTGTAGCTCAGAGCGAGAGGGATTGCGTATGCTTTCTTTGTACGGTTCATTTCGCAGGCAGTGCGTAAAGAATAAAATAGCTTACAGTTATTTGCGAGGCTATGAGTATAAGTAATGTAAGTTGAAGTATGTCACGATTGAGTGAATGTTTGAATATTTTTACTGTAGGAGTTTGTGCTTGTGAGAGTGGGCAAACTAGTCTCTCGCTGGTCGGTTTCTATCTCTCACTCTCTCGATCCCACTCGATCCCCTCACTGCAATGGAGAGCAATAAATGTCAGTGTGAAACGTAAATTAAAAGCGGAAGGTCGTGTTGTTTGAGTTTGTTATCTAGAACTAGAAGAAGACGCTGCTAAATTCTTTTTTAAACTTTGTAGCTCAACAGAGGATAGGTTCTACATTATGAGCTCCTACTCAGCTTGTTTCATAATGCATAAAAATAGCTTTATTATGCATTCAATATTTGTTTTGTATAAATATAATAATTATTCAATTTTAAGCCATGCGGATTTTCCTTAACTGAAATCATCTCTAGACCATTTGAGTTCCTTATTTTGTTAACCATATTTGCCAATTGTATTGCCTTGGCCGTTTATACGCCTTATCCGGGCAGCGATTCGAACGTGACGAATCAAACCTTGGTAAGTGAGATGGGGTCCACTCAAAGAGCCCTCAACGAATTATCTGAATAAAGCTGATATTATGGTTTATTAATCTATAAATCTCTATATTTCTTTCGTCTGTCTTTTGTGCATCACCACGTCTCATCAAATCAACTCTCATTTAATCATAAAATCATATTCAAATATATCATAATACACACACACATCAACACACACGAAACGCCAACAAAATTACAAAATCCAAAATTAGGAAAAAGTTGAATATATATTCCTAGTTATATTCACAGCGGAATGTGTTATGAAGATTTTAGCATATGGTTTTGTGTTACATAATGGTGCATATCTAAGAAATGGATGGAATTTATTAGATTTTACAATTGTAGTTATAGGGTAAGCATATAAAATATGCCAGTTAAAAGCGTTGAGCGCCCAGGCCAAAAAATATATATATATTCGGCCTAGTTTTAACCATTTTCTATGTTACCTTATATCCAATTCAATCGAAACTGAGACACGTATGAAATTGTCTGTGCCAAATCACATTTTTACAGAGCGATAAGTACAGCACTGTCCCATCTGATGAAGGATGCCTTCGATGTGAAGGCGCTACGAGCCTTTCGTGTGCTGCGTCCACTGCGACTTGTCTCGGGTGTACCAAGTAAGAGCTTTCTGCACAAAAAACCGAAAAAAAAAAAAAATAACACACAAATGCGACGATTCTAAATTTACTAGATTAAAAAAAAAAAAGAATCCTTTAATGTCCTTGTAGAGCAAAACAAAGAATAAACTACGGTATATGAACGTAGTTAAAATGCTGTACAGAATAGAAGTAGAGAAAATACTTTTATGGAAAATCAATTTTATTTTGAATTAAAAATCGAATTGGTAAAAAATAAAAATAAAATAATAATAAATATTGATATAATATTTTTTCAAGATTTTTGTGGTCCGTTTAAAAATATATATTTGATTTCTATGATTCAAAATAATAATAAAACATAAAATAGTAAAAAAAATAGTAAAAATTAATATATTGCATATCAAATAAATTTTGTTAAAAATTTAAATAACAAAATTATTTGAAAAATACAAAAAAAGAAAAACCAAATGCTCTCTCACTATCAATTTCTGTGCAGCATGATAAGCTTTTGTTGTGTATGTGTAGTGTAAGCCGCACTTGATGTTATCGTAAGACCCCAAGCAACCACTCTGTTTATTCCTGTCTAAACATACGTAAATTGTCTATTGGCTATTCATACGCTTTTCGCAGGTCTACAGGTTGTGCTTAATTCAATTTTAAAGGCCATGGTGCCACTGTTTCACATTGCACTTCTGGTCATATTCGTTATCATAATCTATGCCATAATTGGCCTAGAGCTATTCTCTGGCAAATTGCATAAGACGTGTCGAGATGAGGTAACAGGTAAGCGTTAATAGCAAAACTAAAAACAAAAAATAAAAAAAAATAAAACAACAAAACAGTACAATCTTTATACGTTGTACGAATATCATTCAATGTCTTGAATGCTACCAGATATGTCGCATTAAAATTCAACGTCCTGTAGCTCTATTACTAGTAGATTAGTGCACGGTTTTGCGGACAAGCACACAACCCAATTAGAACCACAACAATTACAACAACATCAATCAGAACCAATTAGAACACAGTTTCCACACATCCATACAAACAAAGATATGCCAAAAGTATTCATAAAACAAAACCCACAAGCACACACAAATATATAAACATATATATACTGTCTATATTTATATATATCTTTTATATATATTGTCCAATTTTCGCCGAGCTAATAAGCTAATCTGCTAGTCAATAGAGCTGTTGAAATTTTATATAAATGGGACTACTGAGCGTCATATTCCGCAAATCGAAAACCCAATCAGAAACAGCACACAACAACCAACAGCAACAACAACATGAACACATTGAATCATTAACATTATCATGCGCATATATCATATCATATCTCATCTCACATAGTACAACTCATCAACTAATGCATGAAACCTAACGAAAAACAAAACAAACAAAAAAAAAAAAAAAACAAAAAATATGAAAAAAAAAAATCCCAAAACAAATAAATCGGAATCTAGGTGAATACGAGGAAGAAGTTAGACCCTGTGGCATAGGTCGGCTCTGTCCCGAGGGCATGAAGTGCTACGGCAATTGGGCCGGACCCAACTCGGGCATTACGAACTTTGACAATTTCGGACTGGCCATGTTGACCGTCTTCCAGTGCGTCACTCTCGAGGGCTGGACGGACGTCTTGTATTATGTAAGTAGTCGAAAATAAATATATGTATATCTTATCAAATATATAATATTCACTGCTCACTTCAGATACAAGATGCCATGGGCAGCGACTGGCAGTGGATGTACTTCATATCCATGGTCATATTGGGCGCCTTTTTCGTGATGAACTTGATTCTCGGTGTGTTGTCCGGCGAGTTCTCCAAGGAGCGTAACAAGGCCAAAAATCGCGGTGATTTTCAAAAGTTGCGCGAAAAGCAACAGATCGAAGAGGATCTGCGCGGCTATCTCGACTGGATAACCCAGGCCGAGGACATCGAGCCCGATGCCACTGGTGGCCTGATGCCCGATGGCAAGGGCAAGCAGCCAAATGACATGGACTCCACCGAGAATATGGGCGAGGAGATGCCCGAAATGCAGGTCACAGAGTCACGTTGGCGCAAAATGAAAAAGGACTTTGATCGGGTGAATCGACGCATGCGTCGCGCCTGTCGCAAAGCAGTCAAATCCCAAGCCTTCTACTGGCTCATCATTGTCCTGGTGTTCCTCAACACGGGCGTGCTGGCAACGGAGCATTACGGGCAAGTTGATTGGCTGGACGAATTTCAGGGTAAGCTATGATGTAGGCCTTAATATATGTGTTTAAAGTAAAGCAACATAATTCAATATCATTTTTAACATAGATTACGGATGCAGTTCAGATTAAGTTGAAACTATTTATTTTTGTAAAAAGATTATTATGGCATTTAATATATAATTGAACTTATTTTTTTTTAATTCAACTTTAATTAACTCATTTATTTTAACCACATTTCTACAATCATATGACTCTAGCAAAAGACTCAACTTTATTAATAATTATTATTTCTTATTTATTAAGATTTATTTCAGCAATTCTTAAATCCATCAATTTATTTCTTCAACACCTTTGGCGATTTTTAGCTTATGCCTTAAATTAATTTTATTCCATTTTTAATCTCCTATTTTTCGACTTCTTTATAGAGTACACAAATATAGTGTTCATTGGCCTCTTCACCTGCGAGATGTTGCTGAAAATGTACAGTTTAGGCTTTCAGGGCTATTTCGTGTCACTGTTCAATCGCTTCGATTGCTTTGTGGTTATTGGCAGCATCTCTGAGACGCTCTTGACCAAAACTGGAATGATGCCGCCATTGGGCGTGTCGGTGTTGCGTTGTGTGCGTCTGTTGCGTGTCTTCAAGGTCACCAAGTGAGTGAAACGGAAATCAAATTAAAGATAGCATTATTTACTTGACTCTCTCTAATTATGTAATTTCAGATACTGGCGTTCGCTTTCAAATCTAGTTGCTTCCCTATTGAACTCAATACAATCAATTGCTTCGCTATTGTTACTGCTCTTCCTGTTTATTGTGATATTTGCATTGCTGGGCATGCAGGTTTTTGGTGGTAAATTTAATTACAATGAAGAGGAGAAATATCGCACGAACTTCGATTGTTTCTGGCAGAGTTTGCTCACCGTGTTCCAGGTATATAAATAAAACTAATCAAACTATTTGCAATTTATTCAATATGTCCTTTGATGCAGATCATGACTGGCGAGGATTGGAATGCGGTCATGTATGTGGGCATTAATGCATATGGCGGAGTCTCCTCGTATGGCGCTCTGGCTTGCATCTACTTCATCATATTGTTCATTTGCGGTAATTATATCTTGCTAAATGTGTTCTTGGCCATTGCTGTGGACAATTTGGCCGATGCCGACTCACTGTCGGAGGTGGAGAAGGATGAGGAGCCGGTAAGCAATGCATATAGAATCTATAGAATCTGATTGATAATGCGTTTGATCTATCCTTAGCATGATGAGGGCGCCCTGAAGAAGGAACATAGCCCCACGCCCACCATAGATGGCATGGATGACGAGCACTTGAGCATAGACATGGACATGGATATGGAAAATCCTGATATGGACGATGATAAGTTGTGTGCGATTTCCTGTAGTCGAAGGCATTTTATTTCATATTATCATTTTTTCTAGGGATCACGAAACACTCTCCGATGAGGAGGTGCGCGAAATGTGCGAGGATGAAGAAGAGGGTATGTTAAACTGTATTAAATGCAATGCTCTAACTAACTAGCCAATAAGGAGTAACTAGTCTAAGTATCTGAGTATTAAGTGGTTAAGTAAGTTAAGCACACACATATTATACACGCTGCTTTGGACACTTACTCAACAACCATATTCGAAAGAGATATACCTATACATACATATATATATGTATAAATATTTTGATGATATTCATGCTACTGCTACGCTTTCATTTGCTGCCTTGGAAAACACAAAAAAAAAAAAAAAACAACAACAACAACACACACACAAACAACAAATCAATTTGATATTAATCGAAAGACTCCCATTCTGAAGTATCAGCACGTGTTACTGCACGACCCCGGCGTTTATCTGAAGTCAGCATGAAGACGACTAAAAAGCCCATGCCACGCGACAGTGCATTTTTCATTTTCAGTTATAAGAACAGGTAAATCAACAACAACAACAACTACTACAACATGCACAACAACAGCAACCAAAAACGATTTATACACACACTAAATACAGTTGTTTGATTCATATGTGTGTGTTAGCATAAATATATATGATACTTATATATAAATATCAATTAACGATTTTTTATGCACAATGGTTTTTCATTTACTGCATGCTGGCATTATTAAATATTTAAATATCTATATATATATTATACTTATATATATATTTTCACTTGATAACTTGCCTATCGAGCTCTAAATTAATTGCATATTCCACTGTACATAAATTAATCTTCTATATATACAGCCAAAGAAAAACATGAAACTATAAAACAATCTCTCAAGCTGAAGCTGAAAATATTTTGTTTAAACACTAAACACAATTTTTAATTTGCAATTAGTTTTTTACAAGTTCACAGATACAAAAAATATATATTTTTAAACTTATTATTATTTTATTATTATTATTTTTTTTTTTGTAAAATAATCAGTTATTTTAGATCTTAGGCAATTGTATTTGTAAGTTAATTTTTATTTACTTTAGGTTTTTTTTTTTTAATATATATAAGTATTTTTTATTGTAAGTTAAGCAACTTTGTTATTTTACCATGAATATATATGTGTTTATTATTTTTTCTACATTGGCATATGATTAACTAAAAACAAACAAAAATCAAACATAAAAAAAAACCAAACAAAATTTAATTGCATATAGTGGATGAAGAGGACATAATAACGGCACGTCCACGCCGTATGTCTGAGGTTAATACGGCCACGAAAATTCTACCCATACCGCCGGGCACATCATTCTTTCTTTTCTCACAAACGAACAGGTTTTTATGTTTTAGTTAACCCATAAAAGATTAAACGGGCTGATTAAATCAGCAGTTTTAATTTTAGTTGAATTCTGTGTGCTAAAACTTTGTTTTTTTTTTTTTGTACTATTATAATATATAAATATATATTTTAATATTGTATTTGTCTTTTGCATAACAATTTTTGTGTATATCCTAGTCTTATTCCATGTGTATGTCTGTATGTGTATGTGTGTGCATACGTGTGTCTAGTGAGTTAGATTTACAATTGCTTATCCTGGAAAAAGAAAAAAGAGAAACCTGTTTTTGTCCTTAGTTTTATGAGAGGTCTTGAAACTGTATAAGACAAACTCTTTCCTAGCAAATGCTTGAACTTTTTGTTTTCTAATTGTTTTTCTGACCTTTAATTGCATGTATTTTGTTTGCTGTTTATTCCTATGTTACATTTATTAACATCGAAATTTGCATAATTAATTATTAAATACTAAATAATTTATTCACAGATTTCGCGTCTTTTGCCATTGGCTCTGCAATCACAGCAATTTCGGCAATATCATCCTTTGTTGCATCATGTTCTCGTCCGCCATGTTGGCCGCTGAGAATCCGCTGAGAGCGAACGATGAACTGAACAAAGTAAGTAGCTCCCGATCCGAATCTGAATCGAACGTAAGTCTGGTTCCAGAAGCGAGTGTTACTCTTTAATCACAATTTCTATTCTGTGTTTGTTCAACCACTTTCTTTTCATGTTGCCATTGAATCAACTATTTTACAGGTCCTGCTTAAATTTGATTATTTTTTCACGGCAGTTTTCACAATAGAACTGATTCTGAAATTGATTTCATATGGCTTCGTGTTGCACGACGGAGCCTTTTGCAGATCCGCATTTAATCTATTAGATTTAGTTGTGGTCTGCGTCTCATTGATATCTGTTGCATTCAGGTAAAACCCTAAAAACAAGTAACAAATATCTAAACGCTACTCTAACCCAGTAGCTGGATATGAATATAATATATTGTTAATGGAATATATAATCATAATCGATTTCAACTGCAGTTCGAATGCGATTTCAGTCGTGAAAATTCTACGTGTCCTTCGAGTTTTGAGGCCCCTGCGTGCCATTAATCGAGCCAAGGGTCTAAAGGTAAGACACATCTGTTCGTTTTGCTTTCACAGTTATCTCGTTATCAAATTTTTGAAATTCACCTGCTTCTATTAAAAACTATAATATTTGATTTTAATTATATTTTATTTTATTTGATCAAATTTTGTTTTTATGATTTCGACAAAAGTTAAACTACAAAGAAAAAAGTGAATTATTAATACAAGCTTTCTATTAATGTTTCTTTTTAATGCGAGCTAATAAATTTTGACTTTATTTTTTTGCAATAACCCCATACAAAGTGCAGTTAACATTACAATAAAAAAAAAAAACAAAAAAAACTAGTAAAGAAATCAGTTGAAATTAAAACCTTGAAATGCTGGGTGTAGGGTGCACCACGATAAAGCTCTGCAAAAAAATATACAAAATATTAAAAAAAATATTTATATAATTAAGCTCAACAACTACTGTTCAATTTTGAGTTCAACTTTTCTTTTAACACCTAACGAAAATGGGCGTGGAATAAATGCTATGGGCGTGGCGCTTAGGCATATACTGTATGCCATACATGTTGATACTAAACCGAAATGCAATTAAAAAAAAAAACAATTTATGGCCACACATTATATACATACATATAAACATTTAGCTAGCGTATGATCTATCGTCTTTTTTAACTTATATAAATATATATACCGTCGTATCACATACAGCATGTTGTTCAATGTGTCATAGTCGCTGTTAAGACTATCGGAAATATTGTGCTCGTCACATGCCTACTGCAATTCATGTTTGCCGTGATAGGAGTCCAATTGTTTAAGGTATGATTTTGTTCGTAAGTGCTTATCTCTATTAAGTTACAAAAAAAAAAAAAAAAAGAAAAGCAAAAAAATACTTGTATAAAATGAAAAGAAGCCTTTGTATTAAATTACTTCCTAGTTAACTTAAAGACTTTTGCTAGCTTCCATATGTTGTTTTTTTAAGAAAACTAAGCCAAGTTTTAAGAATTTTCCCATTGTAACTCAATTGTATTTGTAAAGCTCTTTCTAAGGACTTTATTTGTACTATAACTGCACAAACATGCAACAGTATTTTTTTTTTTTTTGTCTCTCAAAGTTATAAATAACATTTTGTTGTCGTTTTCGATTTGTTAAATGTTCAAATCCCCAAACCTAACAATTATTTAACAAATTTAAATAACCTTATGCCTTAATTCCTCAAAATTATTTTCGTTGTTTCCTAAAATTGATTTCCTTGCCTAAATTTTACTACTAATAGCTAAACAGTTATACAAAATGTACAAAATAATTTTCTAAGAAATTTATTTGTAAATAATATCATATATACATATGCTGCCCAGTATTGCTTATTAATGCTCAGCATAACTATATAAATATATACATATATAAATACAATTTATTCAATGAGAACTACGACTATATAGAACTGGGAAGAACAGAGCAGACAATGTAGTTGGGCTTGATCGAATCTTAATTTAGGCTGGCTAAACAACACACATATGATTTTTTTACAGTGCACAGGAATTTCCGTAAACCTCTACCTTCCCCTCGTCGAAATGCAGTCCTAACATAACTCACACTATTAAAACAAAAACAAAAATCGTGTAAACCTGTCAACTCTTATATTCCACACCCATTTTCTGTGTCAACATGTATAAGAAACTATATATAAATGTGATTGTAAGATCATAAGCACAATGAACACACACACACACACACACACATACAATATACTGTCAAAGCACATTGAAGTTATCCAATATTTATAATGTCTCAAGCTGCGATCAACCTTGCACCCTAGCATCAAGGCAAAACCCAAACAACCAGAGAGTTTAAAAAAAAAAATTATAAATATATAATACTATATATCTAATGAATATCGATTAGATGAATTGTGTTGTAGTAACAAACCTGCTCATAAAATACTCATACTTATTCATGCGCTAACATATAATTATTATTATTATATTTTTATTTATCATTACTTTTTTTTTTATTACCATTTATTTTTTAATTATATTATGATTTTTTCACTCACTGTTCGCAAATGTCATTAACCTCTCATGATAATTGTATAAAGCAACACACACAGACTCACGCTCATATGCACACACACACACATACACTCATTTATTTATAGCATATACAATACAATACAATTTTCCGAATTGAAAAACCCCTTACAAATGAATTTTCCTCTTTTTTCTCTTTTATCGTTTCGGTTTTTGCTCAAATGCATTTGCTTTGGCGAAAATGTACAAAACAAAAAAAAAAAAACCTAAAATTGAAAATCAAAAACACAAAAACAAAAAAATAATAAAATCAACAACTTTTGATTTCAATGAAACTATTCCAAAAATGTGGGCACAATAACAAAACGAAATTCCACTGATTGATGCTGCATAAACACACACATCTAAAAATAATAATAAAAAAACACACACACACTCGAATACAAATCATACACGCCTGTCAATTCGATTGCTCCTAAACAAAAAATACCTATATTTATACACTGCGAAAAAAAACCTATTACAGTACGTGGTCAAGTGCGTAGTAGTCGCAATTAAAACAATTGGTAATATCATGTTGGTTACATATTTATTGCAATTCATGTTCGCGGTTATTGGAGTACAACTCTTTAAGGTAATTTCTTTACAATTTTATAAAAAAAAAATAAAAATAAAAATAAAAAAAAAACGTTTGGTAAAGGGTAACTAGAGTCGGCTTTATGTGTGCGCTTTTATTGACAGAATTTACTCGCTGCTTGATATGTGTGTGCTTTGAACTCTCTTGATGTATCTTCAGCTAAATTTCTATAAACAAACACAAATCAAAAAGGAACTCTCTCTCTTTCTCTCTTTGTCTCTTTCGCATTTGGGATACTGAAGTACGTTAGGTATATAAGCTCTATATAGTTCTCTCTCTCTATTTCTGTCTTCTGATCTTATGATTTAGCTACAACATTGGTAAATTGTATGAAAATATAAATTCTCAAAGCTCATTAATTAGACAAACAACACAAAGAAAACTTCATTTAATTGTAGCAAAGGCTTTCAAAAGCTTGTCGCGCTTAGCTTTCTAACCTCTAAAAACACCTAATGTACGATTTGTAAACCCCGTCCCGCTCCAATGAGTTTTCTAGTCTAATTAGCTAAGTAATTCACTCACCCACTCAACCCAACTGAAGCTAGTCGAAGCTGCTCGCTAATACTTTGTACCATATATAAATATACATATATGTATGTATTATCCACTTAACAACTCGATAATCCTTGTAACCCTTGTCTGTAAATATTGTGTTGTCTGCGCCAACAAAAAAAAAGAATACTCTATTAATATACATATAAACATATTAACCTTTGTGTATGTAAAAAGTTTGTTCATGAGAGACACCCTGTATATGTACGTGTATATAGACTAGCTTAGTCTATTGTATTTTGCTGCATAAAACATATAATTAGGCTTTAGTCAATACTTCTATCAAGCTGTTTTAGTCAAAGTGCGCTCAGCTTGTAACTGAAAAAAAAAAAACAAACAAGTTTAGCCAACTTTACATAAGTTGAAGCATTCCCCAATTTCATTTTACCATTTTAATAATAATTGCAAAAATCTTTTGTGGCGATCGAAAAATTTATAATAGGGTAAATTTTTCTCCTGCTCTGATGGCTCCAAAATGGTGAGAGAGGAGTGCTTGTAAGTATATTTAATATCATTTGAAATATGTAAAAATATCAAATATAAATGCTTTTAATTATTCAAGTGGAACGTATTTGGTCTATGAGGGCGGCGATATGAATAAGCCGCGTCTCAAGGAGCGTGAATGGAAAAATAACGGTTTTCACTTTGATGACGTGGCCAAGGGCATGTTAACGCTATTTACCGTTTCCACCTTTGAGGGTTGGCCATCGTAAGTACCTGGCATCGGTTCTTCAATATTTACGCAATACTAAATGCAATTTTTTGCCTTCCCAACCAGGCTGCTTTACGTCTCTATTGATTCGAACAAGGAAGATGGAGGTCCAATACACAACTTCCGTCCTATAGTCGCTGCCTACTATATTATCTATATCATTATAATTGCCTTCTTCATGGTCAATATCTTCGTCGGTTTCGTTATTGTCACGTTTCAAAATGAGGGCGAACAGGAGTACAAGAATTGTGATCTGGACAAGAATCAGCGTAATTGCATAGAGTTTGCATTGAAAGCGAAGCCGGTGCGACGCTATATACCCAAGCATGGCATACAGTATAAGGTCTGGTGGTTTGTGACGTCATCATCGTTTGAATATACCATATTTATATTGATTATGATAAACACGGTCACACTGGCCATGAAATTCTACCAGCAACCGCTCTGGTATACCGAACTGCTGGACGCTCTAAATATGATATTTACAGCGGTGTTTGCCTTGGAATTTGTCTTCAAATTGGCTGCTTTTCGATTTAAGGTGAGGTTTTGGTTTAATATAAAAGTATAGAGTTATGTTATACTTAAAAAATATTATTTAATTAAAAAATTTGTTATTAATTTACAGAACTATTTTGGCGATGCGTGGAACGTTTTCGATTTTATAATTGTGCTGGGCAGCTTTATTGACATTGTCTATTCCGAAATTAAAGTATGTATTTGATTTATATTTATATTTATATTTATATTTATATTTATATTTATATTTATATTTATAT